GGGGAGGGGNCTTTCACTTTCACCCGAGAGCCTGCAGGAGTCATGGGCGGGGTGTGTGGAGAGGGAGGTGGAGGTGGGGTGCTCTGCCACGAGGAAGTTCGGCTTAAAGACACGTCCCAGGCGCATTTCTGGTACCAAAAGGCGGTTCTGGTCCCCACCTGTCGTTTTGCTCCTCAGCATGGCTTCCTAAAAACGCTGCAGGATTTCTCAAACATGCATGAATGAGTCAGAGCAAGGCTTTGGGCATGTTTTTATGAGAGTATAACATTATAACATGATATGAAACTCAAAAAAGTTGATTTTACATGATATTGCCCCTTTAAGTGGAACCAGTTGACATAACATGGTTAAGTAAATCTAACATTTTATTCTTTATAGTGCATAGTCTACATCACTACATACAGCCTTACATACCACTCTTTAAAAAAACTATCTTTAGGACCGAGCACCGTTCAAAGAGACAGAAATTCCATTTCTGTTCAAAAGTTTGAACTAACTATAACTTGCAAAAACTACTAGGTGCTGACTCTGCAGATCTCCAGAAGATGATGAAAAAAGAGAGAACGGGCCTCCTAAAAAACCAGGAGCTGAGAATTTTATCTTCACCTACACTATTTTTAAACACATTTTTCCCTTTGAAACCCCATTTTAAAAAATACACAGAAATATAATAGCGGGGCAAAAATATTTTTTTCTAGACCACTAGATTTGAGCCATAACACAGCCAAACCGTTCAAATATTCCGAACAAAAATCTTGAAATATTGCTAATGAAATATAAAATTATTTGAAATTACAGAAAATGTAACTGAAGCAGTTTAGTTTATTAGGACATATTAAAAGAATAATTTATCAAGCAAGTTATTTTACTAATATCTTTAAAGATTGTGAATGAAAAGTAAAAGTATATAACACTAAACTCAGTTCACTTGTTTAAGACTTGATTAGGCCATATTTAAAAAAATATATCACAGAGTTCTTTTATCAGTTTTTCTATTTAACAATCACAGATACAGTGATTTTTGTAAAGAGGAGTTTTCAGTGTGTTGAAGCAGACTGGAACAATATACAATATACACAAATTAAATACACTGTACAAATTCATATTACGAGACTCATATTCATACACAAGCATGTACACAAATGTGAATTTTCTCCTAACAATTATCTCTTGGAATTATTAGATACACGTTACAACCCCAATTTCAATGAAGTTGGGATGTTGTGTAAAAATCACAAATAGAAACAGAATAAAATGATTTGCAAATCCTTTTCAGCCTAAATTCAACTGAATATTTTACAAATGATAAATTTATTGGTTTTTTTTTTCCTTTGGAAATATTCACTCATTTTGAATTGGATGCCTGCAACATGTTCCAAAAACGTTTGGACAGGGACAACAAAAGACTGGGTCAGTAGAGGAATGCTCTATAAACACTTGTTGGTTGCATCCCCCAGGTAAACAGGTTAAATGAGGGTCATGACTGGGTATAAAGGGAGCATCCCTGAAAGGCTCGATCATTCACAAGCAAAGATGAGGTTAGGTTCACTACTTTGTGAACAACTGCTTGAGCAAATAGTCAGTTCACGAACAATGTTTCTCAGCCCACAATTGCAAGTACTTTTGGGGATTTCATCATCTACAGTCCACAATATAATCAAAAAAATTCAGAGAACCTGTGCAAATCTATTCAATTCAATTCAGTCTATTTATATAGCACCCAGTCACAACAAATGTCAACTCAGTTCACTGTACACAAAAAACAGTAGGCCTCATGCAAGAACATGTTCGTATTTTTATCCTAAATTTCTCTTACTTTTGTTCGTACAAAGGGTTCGTACGAACATGTCACGTCAGATTCAACAAACTCTTCTATCTTCAGGAAAAGTGTGTAAATGAGCTGCGTAAATTTCACCTGTTCGTATCCAGCTGCTCGTGCACGCGAGAGGAGATTAGCATAATTACCACCCCAAAAACACCATATAAGGCTATGTTTCCTGCCTCAGATATCAGAAAGTGTCCATTCATGAAAATGACAGCGATAATTAAAAAAAACTTTACGAGTTCAGAGATTGAAGTCCGTCTGTCAGAGATCCAGAAAAGAAAATCTGTCATTTTTAGCAGGTCAGCTGTGGGATAAAAAGAGCTTCTAAAAGTATAAACAACTGTGTTAAATCGTTTTCATTTATTCAGAAGCCACACCGTTGCACACTGGCTCACTGCTGCCAACTAGTGGTCAGAGGCTGAACTACAACACAAAAATGAATGGCTGGCAGGAAAGTTGACATTTTAAACCTTAATAAAAAATCGATACAGGGCTTTAGAATCGATACAGTATCGGGAAATGAAATATCGTGATATTTCAGTGTATCAATATTTTCTTACACCCCTGTAAAGAAGTCAACACATTGTACTGAATCTTTGCTCCATCATAGTCTCTTATCCTGAGCAAGCTCATTGGCAGCAGTGGAAATAAAAAACTTGTTTTTAACAGGAAGAAACCTCCAGCAGAACCAGGCTCAGGACAGGCAGCCAACTGCCTCAACCGTGTGGGTCTGGGGAGGACAGGAAAGAGACACAAACGGGTCCAGGTGTATTTTCCTTTGGTAGACAGACAAAGACAACACTCTGCAAGTCAGTGGCAAGGCCAAAAACCAACATTGAATGCCTGTGACCTTTGTGTCCTCATGCAGCACTGAATTGCAAACTGACATCATTCTGTAAATGATATTACCACATGGGGTCAGGAACACTTCAGAAAACTATTGTCAGTAAACACAGTTGGTCGCTACGAGTACCACAAAAAGCCAAAGCCACGACAACACCCAGAAATGTCCCCGGATTCTCTAGGCCAGAACTCATCTGAGATGGACTGACAAAGAGTGAAAAAGTGTCCTGTGATCTGAGGAGTTCACAAGAGGAAAAGGACTGTCTTGGTTTTTGTTAGAGCAAAGTTCAAAAGCCAGCATCTCTGATGGAACTGGGTGGGAGTGTTGATGCTGAAAGGTGCATACAGATTTTGAGCGACATACGCTGCCATCCAAGCCACTGCTTTTTCAGGGACGTCTCTGCTTATTTCAGCAAGACAATGTCACGCCACATTCTGCACGTTGCAACAGTGTGACTCTGTAGGAAAAAAAATTGTGGGTACTAGACTGGCCTGTCTCCAGTCCAGACCAGTGTCCCTATGAAAATGTGTGGCACATTATGAAGCAATACGACAAAAATATGACAATGGATATCTTGGACTGTTGAGCAACTGAAGGTGTTCATCAAGCAAGAAAGGGAAAGAATTCCACCAACAAAGCTTCAACAATCAGTGTCCTCAGTTCTCAAACACTTATTAAGTGTTGTTGAAAGGAAAGCTGATGTGACAGTGTTTACCATGCCCTGTCCCAGCTGTTTTAGAACATGTTGCAGGCCTCAAATTCAAAATGAGTGAATATTTGGGGAAAAAAAGTTGATCAGTTTGAACATTGAATATCTTGTGTTTGTAGTGTGTTCAATTAATATACTGTATGGTGAAAAGGATTTGCAAATTTTCATATACTCTTTTTATTTATGTTTTATACAACGTTCCAACATAACTGGAATTGGGTTGTAAAATAAAACACTGAGCCTTACCAAACCCACATTTTATGGCACATGTTTGTACACTCGCCATTCCCTGTCATGAGTCACGAGCAGCTCTAACGCTGAGGACCATTAGGCTTTGTTCACACTGCAGGTCTTAAGGCTCAAATCAGATTTTTTTTTGTGTGTGTCTGTTGACATAAATGTGACCTCCATCATACTCCAGTAAGAACTCTTCACTGCAGTAATGGGACCTGCGTGGGCAGATGATGATGGGATGTCACACACTTTTTTCGAGTTTACAGAAGTAAATATGGATGCTACATGTCGATTCTGAAGTTGTGCAATCAGAGCCAATTAAATAATTATCTGACCTGCTTGTTTTGTTACCTGTTTAGTAGGGGTGCAACGATACAGGAAATTCACGGTTCAGTTCGGTTCGATACTTTAGTCTCACAGTTCGATATTTTTTCGATACAAAAAAGAGAAATTTCCATGCCCCTTTTAACTTGTAATTTATTTATATTAATTATGAACATTTGTTTAACCTCAAAAGTACAGTTTTTTTAATTAAATGTTGCTGAAACAGCAAGTTTCTCAGTGGACCTGCGCTCAAAAATGCAGCCTAGGTGGAGTAGTCGAACACAGATCCACTGATCCTTTAACACAGAGCATCTTCAGAAGACAAGTTGATAAAGGAATTTTTAAAAATCTGTATTGTTCGATACAGCACTGTTCGATACGGTTCGATACGGGTACATGTATTGTTGCACCCCTGTTATTTAGGTTTGAGCTTGCCTCTTGCCAGTTACTGTGTGTTAGAAGTAAAACCAACTAAAGTAGTTGTAAATGCAGTAACTTTAGGATTGATATGGTCCGAGCCATGGATTCTCAGTCATCCAAGACTTAAAAAAAGACACAGCAACTGGACTTCTGTTCTGTAGATGAAGATGTGTGGAGTTTTAAGATTCAAACTGCACAATGTTGGTATCAATATTCTGAACAATTGGATCGATCCATAAACCCCCGCCTCACTGATGTAAAAGTCGGGTGAAATGTGACATGAATATTAGGACTGCGGTCGTGTTGTAAACCATCAGTATCTGATTCAGTACCACCTACTGAAAAGATCTGAGTCAAACTTGGAAAAAAATGGATTTGTCATGTTCAGAATGTCATTGTGTAAAGAACTCCGATAAGGGTCGCATGAGGGCAAAAAAGATTAAATTTCGGTCCTATTTGCCTGCAGTGTGAATGTAGCCTTTGGTCTTTAACCCTGAGAGGTTAACAACCCTCAGGAGAGAGGAAAAGGAGAGGGATTTGTATGTGCAATCAGCTCACACGTGAAAGAAACACAATGCTGTGTAACTGCTTGAAAGACTACACTTTTCAGCTTAAAATGGAAAATAAAACACTCCTCAGACATGTAGTGAAATACTTTTAAAATACAAACAAACAAAATTAGGCTTCTAACCTTAAACAAAACTCCTCCTAGGATTTACAGTGTCCTGTATAATTGATGTGTATGGAGGATTTACAATCTGGTGCTGCTAGTCATTAAAAAGACACAACTTGACAGCTAAAGTAGGTAATATCTGTCAGACTCTCTTCCTGTTTTTTTTATTCCTTCAGAATATTATGATGCTATCATTTGGAGTTTGTAGCCATGAATAACGTTTATTTGACAGACATTTGGTCCTTTGTCCAATTTTTTTTCCTGAAACATGCAAGGTGGACTGTTCAGCTGTATTGTACTTGCTTATGTTTGGTCTTTAAAAGCATTGTACCAACAGCAATTCACTGAAACCTTTCAATTTAGCTAAAATAAAACAATCAAGAAATACTATTAACCTCAGTCCCAACAGAAACTCATTTGAAGTTGTGTCCACATGATGCAATAAAAGCAAAATCCTTGTGTTGAAGTCTTTTTAAAACTCATGGTGTTTTCTTCATGTCCAACAACACAAGTTTTGTTGTCCATTTACCAACTCTTCAAAAATATCTGCATCTTAATGTTTTTTTTCTTGGAGTTGGAAAGGAAAAAGTTTGTTTCAAGTTCTCAGAAGCAGTTCCATAGCTTCAAGAAAACAATGATATTTGGTGAGAGAAGTAAAAACAGTAAGAGCTGAACACGGCCTTTACACGAAAGGGCTGTCCGACCTGAATATGTCTGAGTAGCTTTTTCCGTTCAGATGCTCCGTGTGGCTTTCGATGCTGTAGCAGCGGTGGACCTCGGTCAGTGAGGATGCCACGTAAGACGCAGAGGACCGGAAGAACTCGGGGTTGGCAAAAGTGCCAGCAAACTGCAACCGCTGTAGAGTCCACTGTCTCCTTAAAACAGTCTGAACCTGTGAAGAAAATTAAGAAAAGAGCATTTAGGGGCTGATTTATCAAAGTTTTGCATGTGTAAAAAGACGTGCAAGTTGATAGTCAAACTAATTCATTAACTATGGGCACGGAGGATTGTCTGTTTTTGAGAAGTTAATATATTTGAAAGTAAAGGAAAATTGTCAGTCCATTCTTAGAATAATTTATTGTGGTTAGGTTATCACTCACCTCCCCATTGAAGAAGCAGAATATTGTAGAAACCAAAAGACCCTGAATTAATTAAAAAGAAAAAAATAGAAAATGTTTTGTGATAGTATAGGCAGACTAAAAACCATTGAATTGTGATCTAGAGTTTTTCTGACCTGGTAATGCATGAGGATGTTCATGATATACAGATATATCTCAGAGAACCAGTGATCCTGGGGTTTGTACGCAAGCAAGACGTACTGGATACCAAGCAGAGGGATGAGGATGAGGGTCGCCCTCACTGCCCTCATGTAGAGGCTGGACTCGGCCTGGTGTGTCACTCGCAGCTTGGTGATGAGAACTCGAACAATATTCAGTAGGAAGAAGAAGTTCACCTGGAATTAATGAATGACTGTCATGTAGACTTGCAGATTCCAACATTTTGAAATACGATTTTCGAGTTAATGTTCTCAAAGTTCCTTACCACCAGTGCAGCACAAATTGGAGCATGAATAATATACAGTAAGGAGGTAGCCGGACTGACCCAACATCTGTAAACATATCATAGCATTAGTCAACATCTTAATCAATTAGTATACCTTCAAAATGCATAACCTCTTCTGTCTTGCACACCGGTATTTTAAATGAAGATTTTGCTTGATCTGATGGTGCAGAGAACATGTGAGGGAGATGACTCACAGCCATGGCCTCCCCCAATTTTGGATCAATGGGCCTCATGCAAGAACATGTTCGTATTCTTATCCTAAATTTCTCTTACTTTTGTTCGTACAAAGGGTTCGTACGAACATGTCACGTC